GGAACTGAATCCCGGGTGATGTGACAAGGGTTGAGGTATATCCGTTGTGTATTGACCCGTAGTAATGGCCACTGTACTTGCCTGTGAGAGGTCTTCACAGTGATACTGATTATAGTTAAGCAAGCTTTATATCCGGCGTTCTCATACATGTGCCAAATAACGGTTGTATCTATAGAGGGGAAAACGGGTTGAGTGTATACCAATTAAGAACCGATGTGTGTTTTGTGTACCAACACTGTGGGTGTAGGTATGCCTTTTGCATTGGGTGTAGGTATAACTGTTGCATAATAAACGTATGGTATGTTTTTTCGCCATCACTGTAACCGTATTGTGCCGTGTCTTCGTTTCCATTCGTCTCCACGCACTGTTACGTTTTGTGCTGTTTGGCTGATACGTTTTCTTTCAATTGGCAAACCGCAGTCGTGCTTAACGCGGGTATCTGCTACCGTACGGTTACGTTTTGATCTTTTTGACCTATACGTTTTCTCCATTTTTCCCAACCTCCATTGTAGCTGTACCAGACTTTCGAGCCAGCCGCCGATAAAGAGTTGAGGCGAGAATTCGATTCCGTACTGAAACCACACATAACGTATTTGTCCGAATGCCGACCATTGTCTGTGAGTATGAGAAACGCCATCAAGTTCTTGAAGCTGACCATCTCCAATCTGGACACAGATCTCACTCTGGAAGAGGTATGAGATATGAAGTTTTACTACGGATGTATGTATGTATGTATGTATGTATCTATCTATCTATCTATCTATGTAAGTATGTATGTATGTATGTATGTTTGTTTGTAGGTATGTATGTATGTATGTATGTTTGTATGGAGGTATGTATCTATGTATCTATGTATTTATGTTTGTATATGTATGTATGTATGTATGTAAGTATGTATGTATGTATGTATGTATGTATGTATGTATATATGTATGTATGTATGTATGTATGTATGCATGCATGTATGCATGTATGTATGTATTTATGTATATATGTATTTATGTATGTATGAATGTATGTATATACGTATTTTTTTTGGAGGTATGTAGGTATGTATGTATATATGTATGTTTGTACGTATACTTAGACAGTAAGAGATATATGTATCTGTAGTCGTTTTGCCTGCATGTATGTACACGGTATTCACCTACCCAAGGTGTGTACATTTCTCCGTTGTTGTATGTATATTTTGTATATATATATATATCTATATATATACCATCCCTAGGCCTCTGTTTGTCTTCTACTATGAGGATATGGATACAGAAGTTACACTTAGACAAGAAGTTATATATATATATATATGTGTTGCAATTGCCTGTATGAACGCACAAGGTATATGCCTACCCGAACCTATAAATGGCGCAAGAACCCGGTTCTACAACGGACGGATCCGAATCCAAATCCAAATCCAAATTCAAATCCAAATTTAAATCCAAATCCGAATTTAAATCCAAATCCAAATCCAAATTCAAATCCAAATCCAATTTTTTCAGAGCTTGAGATTGCCGGAAATGACAAACTTCCGATACCTAGATATTAAAAAGGATTTTATATGTACCCTCATTTGCTTGCATGACTCCACCTCTGCGATGTACAGTCAACAATCTCGACCTGAATCTGAATGTACATCTAATTTTTTAAACCCTGAGCCAAATTTGAATTCGAAATCTATATATTGTAGTATATTACTGGTAGTTTATTACTGCAATTACCGATTCCCTGTATAAAAAATTCCTTCGTTTAATCAGATTCTGAGTATTTGAACCACAATCTGCGCCAAATTTGATTTGGGTTTATTTCAGGTGCGTGAAAGGGTAAACGATGCGATCGACAATTTCATAAACGAACGCATCAAACTTTCCTGCACCCAAATATGCGCATATGGACAAGACAGGTACGTATGAATAATAGAATACGGTAAATTATGCGTAAATACTTCTATATATATATAATATATATATATATTTTTTACTATAATATACATATATATATATATATATATATTTATATACTTATATATCTATATAGTATAATATTTCTATGTTCATATATCTATGTTTATATATATCTATATATATTTGTGTGTGTGTGTTTGTGTTTGTGTGTACGTATGCATGTATATACATGTATGTGTGTATGCATGTATGCAAATATGTGTGTATGTTCGTATTTTGTATGTATGTATGTATGTATGT